CTGTGGCAAGTTCGAAAGAACAAGACATATCGAAATTATGGCACATGTGACTCGGGCATGCTGGTGAGAAGGCGCTTCAGACACTGGTGAACCAAGGAGTCCTTAAGGGTGCCACAACTGGAAGAATTGATTTCTGTGAACATTGTATATTTGGCAAACAAAAAATGTGAAGTTTGGTACAGCTATACACCAAACAAAGGGCATTTTGGATTATGTTCACACTAATGTATGGGGTCCCACAAAGAATGTCTCATTGGGAGGAAAGAGGTGGTTCGTCACCTTTATTGATGACTACTCGAAGAGAGTTTGGATGTATCCCATGAGGCACAAAAACGAGGTTCTCCAACTCTTCCTAGAGTGGAAAAAAATGGTAGAGAATCAGACGGACAGGAAAATCAAAAGGCTGAGATCAGACAACGGGGGAGAATATACTTATGATCCATTCCTTAAAGTATGCCGAGATGAAGGGATCGTTCGACACTTCACTGTTCCTAGTAAGCCACAACAAAATGGAGTTGCTGAGAGAATGAACCAGACATTAATAGAGAAGGTTCGATGCATATTGTCTCAAGCAGGATTGAGTAAGACATTTTGGGCTGAGGCTCTCAGTTATGCAGTTCACTTGGTGAATCGTTTACCTGTTTCTGGAAACGGTGGGAGAACTCCGCTTGAGGTATGGTCAGGTAGTCTTGTTAGTGATTATGATAAAGTGCATGTGTTTGGGTGTCCTGCTTATTATCATGTGACAGACTCAAAGCTGGATCCTAGAGCAAAAAAAGCCAAGTTTATGGGCTTTAGCAAAGGTGTGAAGGGCTATAGGTTATGGTGTCCAGAAACAAGTAAGATTGTTAATAGTCGAGATGTGACATTCGATGAGTCTGGAATGTTTTTGCAGAAAATTGAAAATAATGACGAGGCATTGAAGCAGGTGGAGAAGGTGGTGTTCTCTCCTGATGTGGTTGCTCCTACTGAAGAACCTATTGACCAGGTAAATAATAACTTTGATGTCTTAGAACAGAAAGAGCAAAGTCTTGAGGAGCAAAGCCTTGTAAATGAAAGAGTGGAGGAACCTGAGTCAATCGCCAAGAATAGACCACGAAGGGTAATTCGAAAACCTGCAAGGTTTGATGATACGATAGCATATGCTTTCTCTTTGATTGATGGAGTTCCTAACAGTTACAAAGATGCTATTCAGAGCCCGGATAGCTTACACTGGCAAGAGGCTGTGAATCAGGAGATAGCATCATTGGAGATAAATCAAACTTGGGATTTGGTACAACTTCCAAAAGGTAAGAAGGAAATTGGTTGTAAATGGGTTTTTGCAAAAAAGGAAGACCCTTTTGGTATACGTTATAAGGCTCGACTTGTGGCTAAAGGCTACGCACAAAAGGAAGGTATTGATTACAATGAAATTTTCTCACCTGTGGTAAAACATTCTTCGATTCGAATTTTGTTGGCTTTGGTTGCTCAATTTAATCTTGAGCTTGCACAACTCGACGTAAAAACTGCTTTTTTGCATGGAGATTTGGAAGAAGAAATATATATGACGCAACCAGTTGGTTTCCGAGTAGTTGGACAGCAACATTTAGTATGCAGATTGAAGAAATCTTTGTATGGGCTGAAGCAATCCCCTCGCCAATGGTATAAAAGGTTTGATCATTTCATGGTAGAGCATATGTATACTCATAGTCAATTTGACCATTGTGTGTATTATCGATGTCTCGATGATGGATCGTTTATCTACTTGCTCTTATATGTTGATGATATGTTAATTGCTTCAAAGAGACAGGTGGAGATTGATAAACTCAAAGATTAGCTTTCTAAAACATTTGAAATGAAAGACTTAGGCAATGCAAAGAAAATACATGGAATGAAGATAGAGCGAGATCGAAAAAAAGGTACAGTCTGGTTGACTCAGTCTCAATATCTACGCAAGGTATTGTCAAGATTTAGTTTGAATAATTCAACCAAATCTGTTAGTACTCCACTTGCTCCTCATTTCAAGCTTAGTGCTTCCATGTGTCCAAGTTCTGACGATGACAAAAGATATATGGAGAACATTCCTTATACAAATGTTGTTGGTGCGTTGATGTATGCTATGGTGTGTACTCGACCTGATCTTTCACACGCAGTAAGCATGGTGAGTCGTTATATGCATAATCCTGGTAAAGAGCATTGGCAGACTGTAAAATGGATTCTTAGGTACATTCTTGGCACTATTGATGTTGGTATTAAGTTTCAAAAACAAGAAATGTTTAATCTTGACAATCGTGTAGCTGGTTTTGTGGATTCTGATTATGCTGGTGACTTGGATAAGCGACGATCTACCATGGGTTATTTATTTACTATGGCTGGTGGACCTGTTTGTTGGCGCTCAACATTGCGGTAACGGAAGCTTTTAAAGAAGCTATTTGGATGCATGGTTTGATCAATGACTTGGGTATTTTGCAGGGACATATAGATGTATTTTGTGATAGCCAGAGCGCTATTTGCTTGTCAAAAAATCAAGTCCATCATGCTCGTACAAAACACATTGATGTCCGTTTTCACTTTATTCGAGAAATCATTAACAAAGGGGATATTTGTTTACTAAAAATTGGAACTGCTGATAACCCTGCTGATATGTTGACAAAGGTGATCGCTCGTGAAAAGTTCTGCCATTGTTTGGATCTCATCAACGTCGGAAGGAAGGAGTAGTGTGTTGATGTGGTAGCAACCAAATTCGCTATCAACTTGGAAATCTTATGACAAGGTGGAGATTGTTAAGCACTGTCATAAGCCCTATTCTCTAGGACCAAGACCTATTCTCAAGGTCTTGCTAATAATTTTTAGGCTTGTTAGTTTATATTTAGGTTTAGCAGAAGGCTATATAATGCCATTCTTTCTGCTGTTGAAATCATCAAGTTTTGTGTGCAATATTGTATGTCTTGAGTAAATTTGGTGTTGGGAGTACATTTGTTCCGCTTTCGGCGCACAACACATCTCAGCTTCAGCTGATAGTGTCCTTCTTCCTCAAGGGAAGGAGCTTCATGGTTATAGTTGGAGACATGGATTTGGGTTGAATGACAGGGTGAAGACTCAATTGGTGGATATGTATGCCAAGAGTGGCTCTGTAAATGTTGCTAGGAGTCTGTTTGAGTTGTTGAAGAAGAAGAGGGTAGTCTCTTGGAAAGCCATGATCGCTGGGTATGCAATGCATGGCCATGCTAATCAAGCTTTGGACTCGTTTGAAGGGATGAAAGAGACAGCTCTCCCTGATCATATAACTTTTGTTGGAGTTCTGGCTGCTTGCAGCCATGGTGGGTTGCTTAATCAAGGGAAGATGTACTTCAGATCAATGTTAAGTGACTACATTATACGTCCTACTGTTCAACATTACACTCGTATGATTGATCTACTTGGTCATTGTGGTCACTTGGAAGAAGCTTACAACCTCCTAATGGAAATGAGAGTAGAGCCAGATGCTGGTGTGTGGGGTGCCTTGCTTCACTCGTGCAAAATCCATGGCAATGTGGAGTTGGGCGAGCTAGCGTTAAGGAAGTTGGTTGAGCTCGAACCTGACGATGGCGGGAACTATGTGATTTTGTCGAACATGTATGCGCAAGCAGGTAAATGGGAAGGAGTTGCAAGACTAAGGGATGCCATGATGGATAGGGGGTTGAAGAAAAGTATAGCTTGTAGTTGGATAGAAGTGAGGAACAAAGTACATACCTTCTTGTCAGAAGATACTTCGCATCCTGAGTCTGAAGCAATCTATGCCGAGTTAAAACAGATAGGGAAGTTGATGAAAGAAGCTGGGTATGCACCACAAATCGGGTTGGTTTTCCACGATGTCGAAGACGATGAAAAAGCTGATATGGTGTGTGGTCACAGTGAAAGACTGGCCATTGCTTATGGACTCATCAACACAGCTACGGGAAGTAGGCTCTTGATTATCAAGAACCTTAGAGTTTGTGGGGACTGTCATGTTGCAATTAAGTTCATATCGAAGATCACGAAGAGAGAAATAAGTATTAGAGATGTTAATCGTTATCATCACTTCAAAGATGGAATTTGCTCCTGTGGTGATTTCTGGTGAATGGTTGGTATTAACATTGGAAGTGCATTAAAAGGCTTGCAGGCCGTTTGAGTCTTGACTCATAATCTTGAAAGGATTCCTCAGCCCACTCTTACTCTTCTACAACAGGGAAAATGAAATCTTAATGGCTGTGAGGGATTCATTGTTCAAATATGTTTCGAATGTGGCTTACCCACTTTCAGGGAGAAAAGAAGTTCGCTGTCAATTTCATTATGGTTGCTTGATGATTGCTCGGTTCTTTCTGAACTATTCTCAGACCGAACGATGGGGCTCGCATTGATTTCAATTGATTGAATCAGTTATGGAAGATGGGGAGAAATGTAACTATCTCGATTCAGGGAAGAGGGAGCTTAGAGCAAAGGCCCAAAAGAAGGGGACCCTTGGAGGTGTTGTTGAACACAACTCTATATGAGAAATACTCGCACTCCTTATTAACACCAATCAAGAAGAAAATACAAGACACTCTCGGTAGCTACTACTTTGTATTGCTTGAGATGATAACCTAGGTTCTGTAGAATTGGACTTGACTCTATTGAGATGATATTTTAACAGGGTTGGGATCAAGAAAGAGCCGAAAAAAAAGACTTCTTCACTCGCACAATATTTTGAATTTGACATTAAAACATCATTAATTAATTTGTTAGTGACATTTTTTTAAAAAATCTGGTTAAATTGAGAGTGTAGTTTCTAAACGGTAGATTTATGTTTATTTTATCTTTAAATGGTATTAAATATGTGATAGGTTCGTATATTTTTTATTTTTGTGTTTTCTTTAAAATGTAATAATTTTGTATTTAGTATATGTTTGACCAATTGAATGATATTTAAAAATAAAAAATTAATTGAGTTATTGGATTTATTATTTTTTATTATTATGTTAAATAGATTAATAATCGATTAATCACAACCCTCCATTCAATTTTCAAATTTCAATTTTCGCAAAAAAGGACAAGGGCTTCACTTCTAGATCTGTCCTCCTCTCCCTCTCTTCCCCCGATCTGCTTCTGGTGTGTCGTTTTCCCGTTCTTCTGTCTCCGCTCTGATCGGCGGTCGTCGTCCACCTTTCTCCGTTGATGGCCGTGACGCTGCAGCCTTACTAACTTCTTTTTGTCCATTTTGAACGTCCATCAAGCTGAGGTAAGTTATTCTCGAATACTCTTCGTTGGGTCTGGTATTGAGGCTACTTGTGTGTCTTATTACAGTCATGCAGGTTAGCTAGCTCTATGTGTGAAGACTGTGATTTTATTCTTGGTTGAGTGAATTCAGTTTTGTAAATGTAGTATGATTAACACACCATATTGCTTCCGAATCTGATATTTGAACCGTATTGGTTTTGCGACAGGTTGATTTTGCTTCAAAACTCTCGAGGCAGTTTTTCTGCAACTTCTTTACAGTTTGAACATTTTGCGAGGGAGATCGTCTTCCAACTTGTAGAAAATGGAAAATTCAAAAATTCAAGAGGCATTTTCTCGGCATCTCTACACGTAATACACAATTTCTGTTGCCATTTGTATATTGTTAATTTTTCGTTTTCTTTTTTTTTTTGTGCCAGATATTGGAGAAGCAGGTGCTGACGGTGGTGAAGGCCGTGGAGGACAAGATTGATGACGATATTGCAGCGCTAGATCGTCTGGACCTTGACGATTTAGAGGCTTTGAGGGAGCGAAGATTGCAGCAGATGAAGAGGATGGCGGAGAAGCGTAGTCGATGGATCTCCCTTGGCCATGGCGAATACTCTGAGATTCCCGTCGAGAAGGACTTCTTCTCCGTAGTCAAGGCTAGTGATCGCGTGGTCTGCCACTTTTACCGTGAAAATTGGCCCTGCAAGGTTAGGTTCTGTTAGTCACTCATCGATTGATTTAGTGTGTTAATTGGATATTCTTTTTACCTCTTAATTGTAAAAGTCGATGAATTTTCTAGCTTTTGGGAAATTGAACTTCATTCCAAGCATGTAGGACTGTTTTGCATTCTTTTCGTTTATGTTATGCCTACCAGTTAGTGCAATGATCAAATATCCAGGAATATAAGAAATGGATTTATTTATGTAATGAGACTCAAATTTTAATACCTCTGGTTTTTTGCAGCCCTTATTTAATTTGTGTCGTAATTATTAAAAAGGTTGAAGTCAATAGAAATAGGTGAAGGATGACCAAACGATTAGCTCTTTCAAATGAAAATGCTCTGGTTGAGAAGAGGTTCTAGCCCTTGTTAGTATCGTGTCCCTTGTAGTCTTTGTTCATGTGCATTTTCTCAATCATGAGTTTTTTTTCAACATACAAGCATTTTTTATCCTTCTCATGTGATCAATTCAGCCCATAGCTCTCAACTTAGTTGGAAATGATCCATGTTTAACCCTGAGGGTGTTGCCAGAGGACTCATACTGTATTTTCTGTTATTATTCCTTTACATATTTTTGCGTACACAATTTTCTTGGAAGATATTTAATATGAACCAAGATATCTCAATCATGCACTATGAACTTCAAGGAAGATTCTTGGATGGTTACAAATTTTGGGTGGGCGATAATCTAAAGTTATGATGTTTATTTAATGTATTTTAAGACTTTTATTTACTTTAAGGTTACATTTTCATAGTGGCTAATTATGGTCAGCCTCATGGAAGGTCAAGGGTTTCCATTTTGAGGCTATATAAAGCCATGTATGTTATATTTGTAAAGTAGACTTGAAAATTGTAGTAAAATGACATTTTTGCTTTTCTTTGGCCAAAAACTAAGTTTCTTTGCAATTCTATATAGTTTAGATTGCATGTTAGAATCATTCAAGCTTGACATGATTGGTCTTGTGTGTGGAGTGATTTGAATCTCAAACAAGTGTTCTTGCTTTGAGATATTTGATCAACAAGGTAATTCGAATCTTAATTTTCCTTGGATTGATTACTTACCATTTGGGCTAAGTGTTCTTACCTTTCCTTTAGCCAATGACTAAGTTTCTTTGCAATTCTATGTAATTTAGATTGCATGTTTAGAATCATTTAAGTTTGACATGATCGATCTTGCTTGTGGAGTGATTCGAATCTCAAACAAGTGTTATTGCCTTAAGATATTCAATTAACATGGTAATCTGAATCTTACTTCCCTTATAGTGATTCATTATCATTTGGTATTAGAGCTTTTCCTTGGGTTGATTCGTCGCGGTAAAATTATGTATATCTAAGTTGGACCATTAATTTAAGGCTGTTTACTTAGTTTTAAATTGTTAATTATCACTTGTAAGCCTGGGCATTTGAGAGAAATGATGCATGTTCATTTTGCAGGTTATGGACAAGCACTTGAATATCTTGGCAAAGCAACATATCGAGACTCGTTTTGTAAAGATCAATGCTGAGAAAAGTCCATTTCTGACTGAGAAGTTGAAGATAATTGTTCTTCCAACCCTTGCTCTTGTCAAAAATGCAAAAGTAGAAGACTATGTGGTATGTCTTCTATGGTAACACACCACTGATTACTGAATTATGTTTTGTGTCCTTTAACTCAACTCACGTGAATCTATCAGGTGGGATTTGATGAGCTTGGTGGAACTGACGAATTCAGCACAGAGGAATTGGAAGAGAGGTTGGCGAAATGTCAAGTCATCTTCTATGAAGGTGAATCGTCCATAAATGCATCAAAATCTAGTGCACAAACCAGGAGGAGTGTGCGGCAAAGTGCCAGAGCAGACTCATCAGATTCGGAATAAATGAACATTCCAGTTGTGGGAGGGTTACCGGGTATGCATATGCACTTGTTCTCGATAAAAATTTGAGTGACCTTAGCGTGTTGTTCATATCGTCCCTTGAAAAGCAGAAATGTGGCATGTTTGCTTGCTTTGATGCAATGGTTGCACTATTTTTAGTTCATGATATCTGTCAAGTTCTTGCAGTTGCTGTTTACTAGAAAAATTGAAGTTATTGGTTTAAAAACATGAAACCATCTTGCATACCGAAACATGGGGGGAGTCTATTGGATCGAGCAGTTACATAGTCTGTATAGATATTCCAAGGTGTAATTGCATGTGTTAGTGTTTTTTTAAATCAACTGATGGTATAACATCATTCATAAGAAATGACCAAATATCATGCTTTTGGACTTGCCCTGCGTGCTCTGCTGGTGCGTGCTATATCATTAGTGTAAAGCATGTTTTGAGTCCTTTTTAGTAACCTGTAACCATTGTTTGGGGCCCGATTCACGGTTGTTACTACTAACAGAGATCATATTTTATAAAAACGTTTCACGTTGTATATTATTTATTAAAATTTCATGTATATTAAAAATGTTATCAAATAAGATAGGTTACAAAAATAAGCTAAAGAATCTACTGAAGAAAGTGACAGCATATATAAACTGCTGGTGTGATAATATATGGTTCTGTTTATATTTTTGGAAATGGGTGTTAGGCCCTTTCATTAATTTCTACCATCTATCTCTCCTAAAATCATAACAAAACTATGGCTGTCGCTTTTAACACTCCTAAAACCATTGAAAGGAAGGAAGCCTTTCGCTATTAACACTCCTAAAACCATTAAAAGGGAAAAAATAGCTCGTTTTAAGTTTTAACTAACACTCCAAATCTATGAAAACAATAATAAAAATAAAAATAAAAAGATACAGCATGTCGGAAGCTGATTGGTCGGTCCATGGCCACGTAGTATTCTCTGTCTTCATCCTCTCATAAAACCAGCAACATCTGTGCCTTTTGCTTCGGCCGTTGTTTTGGAGGGGCGATTATATATATTGTAGTAATGGATTTCTGGCCGGAGTTTCTTGCAACCAGTTGGGGTAAAGAATTTGTCGCCGGTGGATTTGGTGGCATTGCTGGTATAGTCTCCGGCTACCCACTTGATACTCTTCGAATCAGGCAACAGCGATCCATTTCTGGTTCTGCTTTCAAAATCTTTCGTGATATTGTTGCAAACCATGGCCCTGCTGGTCTTTACAGAGGCATGGCTGCTCCCTTGGCCTCTGTCACTTTCCAGGTCGGTCTTATGATCTTATCTTCCATGCCTGTTTCTGTTCTCAATGTTCCTTCAATGGCAGATACTAATTGGTGTTTCTGCATTTACAGAATGCTGCCGTGTTTCAAATCTACGCCGTTCTTTCTCGGGCATTCAACTTCTCCCAATCCAACGGTGACCCTCCGAGCTATAAGGCTGTGGCTTTTGGAGGATTTGTCACCGGAGCTCTTCAGAGCTTCATCCTGTCGCCGGTGGAGCTGGTGAAAATCCGCCTGCAATTGCAAAGTTCTTCTTCTAACAAAGGCCCTGTGAGCGTAGCCAAACGCATCTGCAAAACAGAAGGATTGAGAGGGATTTACAGAGGACTTACCATAACCATGCTCAGAGATGCACCGGCACATGGAATCTATTTCTGGACATATGAGTTCATGAGAGAGCAGTTTCATCCTGGCTGCCGGAAGACCGGCCAAGAGAGTGTCAGCACAATGCTGTTTGCCGGAGGGCTCGCCGGAGTTGGCAGCTGGGTTGTCTGTTATCCCTTAGATGTGTTGAAGACAAGAATTCAGGGTGAGACACAAAGCTCATCTGGAAAATATAATGGAATTGTTGATTGTCTTGGCAAGAGTGTAAGAGAAGAGGGTTACAGAGTGCTGTGGCGAGGGCTGGGGACTGCGGTGGCTAGAGCATTTGTGGTTAATGGGGCCGTCTTTGCTGCATATGAGAGTACTTTGAGGTGTTTGTTTAGCAATCAAGCTCTCTGAATTGCCCACATTTCCAATGAGAATGAATTCGTTCTCGTTTTTACTTCTGATATAAATAATTTCTCTCTTATTTTTTATGTTCCTTTAGATTGAGTATGTTAGTTGTGATATCCTAATAAACACACAATGTAGTAGGACATTGCTTCAAATTTATACCAAACAATTGATCCGATATTCGCAAAACTTGCTCCTTTTGATAGTCATATAAATAAATTTGATAAATTTGGTAATTAGAGTTTATCAAATTATGCACTCAAATTTAATTTTCTCCAAACCACAGCGAGCAATCTACAATAATAATAATAAAAAATTAAAAAAATTAAAAAAAAAAAAGAGTAAATGAGAAGGTGTAGTCAAAATATTCCCCCAAAAAAGAAATATTCCCAAGGAAAAGTAACTTTTTGAATCACAAAAAATTCAATGAAACCATCATGTGCATGTAAAAAGGCCAATTTCATGAAAGGAATAGTTCTGTAATTTGATATTGAATGAAAATCATATATCTAGACTTTGCACGCTAATGAAGAAAATGTTCTAATTCGTAGCTATGTATTCTCAACAATTGGGGAAGAAGAGATTCAGAAAGCTATTGGATCTCTGGTTTGAATCTATCCGTACTGTAAGAAGAGGAATCTATCAATGTGCAGAAGAAAACGACGATTTTACTCTGTTTTGAACGATTACTCTGTTCCATCTGATTCTCATATTGCCCCAACACCAAAACTAGCCTGCGCCAGAACGCTTGGATCGTTGTAGCCCTTCACTGCCTGAACGATTCCTCTCAGTCGGTCGCAAGGTTTAGAGAACTGGAATATCTCTAATCCCACAAAGATTCCGTCACAACCTAACTGCATCATCAAAGCCGCATCGGCCGGAGTCGCAATTCCTCCGGCCGCATAATTGATCGCCGGTAACCTGCCAATTTCCTTAGTTTTCTTGACAATATCATAAGGCGCGGAGATCTTTTGCGAGAAAGCGAAAACCTCATCTTCATTCATGCTGTGTAAAAACCTAATATCAGCCATCACAGATCTCACATTACGCAACGTCTCCGTGATGTTGTTACCTGAAGAATACGCCGCCATATCTCCTTGAGTTTTGATCATTTTCGCGCCTTCCTTCACTCTCCGCAACGCCTCGCCCAGGCTTCGACATCCACAGACGAAGTACGACTCCTTAAACCTGTGCTTGTTGATGAAATGCTCCTGATCTACAGCGGAAGTTTCATCGCTCTCATCGAAATGCTTCACACCAACATTATCAAGAATCTGCGCTTCGACGAAGTGCCCTACGCGGACCTTTACGATTACCGGAATCGAAACAACACGCTTAATTTCAATGAATAGTAATGGATCAGGCATTCGCATAATGCCTATGTGAATCGGCTCGGAGAGCAAAACACAACACGCGCCGGCTTCCTCTGCAATTTTTGCTTGCTCGACATTGCTAACTTGTACAATGACTCCGCGAAGAACTCGACTTAATTCACCCTTGAAGAAACACTGATCCACTTCGCTGCCGCGGCCGGCATAGGGCGAGATTGCATTTTCCTCCGCCATTTCCAAGAATTCAAGAAAATGCAAGAATTTAATTCAAAGAAAGACACAAACAGAAAGAATGAATCAAGAGGACGAATGAAGAAGATGGTGAGAGCGTTTGATTGGATTCCGCATAGTTTCTATTTGTTAGTCAGTTGGTAGTGACTGAGAAAGATGATGGGATATTTATAGCAATGGAGGAGGTTGAAGGTGTTAGGGTGATGAAAGCAATCCATTTATAATCAATTAATACTATTTTTATTTTTAAGAGGCCTTTTGGAGAAGCACACAGTAAAATTGAGAGGTTATGTTCAAACCACCAGAGCATATATCATACCATTATAGAGTCGTCCTTCTGTTAAATTAATTCGGATGAAGATCATTGGGAATAAGTCTCATATTAGTTAATTTAGGGAATGATCCTGGGTTGATAAGTTAAAGGAATATATCTGGATTGATATGAGACCTTTTTGAGAAGCACAAACAAAAGTCATGAAAGCTCGAGAGTGGACAATATCATACTATTGTAGAGAATAGTAATTCTTAACATGGTATGAGAGTTATGCCCTAAACTTAGTCATGACAATAGAATTTTCAAATATCGAATAAAGATTGTGAACCTCGAAACTGTAGAAAAAAAGTGACTAAAGTGGACAAAATCATATTATTGTGGAGATTCATGATTCCTAACCCGTTCGTCCATAGTATTATTTTGTGAGGCATTGTTTGATTAAAATTTTAAATAATAATAAAATAAATGAAATAAAAAACCAGGTGCTAAAAAAAAAAAAATATACAGAGAGAGATTAGGTCTAAAATAAAATAAATCAATTAAAATATATGATTTGAAGTATTTTTTTAAATAAAAAAATTAAAGAAACAAAATGAAACGCATGTAATCCAATGGCTGCGTTTGAAGGATCGACACGTGGCAATCTAACACGAGCCTGGGACCCACATAATTTGAACGAGAAGGCGAGCGCGGAATGATAAGCATTTAAACTTAAAAACTTACCGGGCCCCACCACGTGGCATTTAAACTATTGGCCAAATTTCAAAATCCCCAACGTATCCCTTAAAAACGCTGCCGTTTTATTCTTCACCACCGTCCTCCTCCGCACTCTTACCGCCACTCATCGTCTCTACATCGCCCACGTGCACCGTCCTCACGCACCTGGCGCGTGTCTTTCTCTTCGAAATATTAAAGGTCACTCTCTCTGTCTGTCTTTCGCTATACTCAACCTCTCCCAAAACTTCAACCATCTGCGCTGCTCATACCCACATTCTCTTACTCTTTTTTACTTCTTTAAGTAAGCTTCCGATTCTGCGATTTGGGATTGTGGATTGTGGATTGGCTCTGATTTAAGCAACTGACTTGAATCGGATCCTAAATTTGTAATCGGTGTTTGATTCTGGGTGAAGTTTTGTTTTCGGATCAGGTCTTGAGAGATGAACGGAATGGGGAGGCAAGGCCAGAGATCTGGTGCAGCTGTGAGGAATCACCACCGGCAGTTCTCAGATGAATATTTTGACGCCTCGTCCAATGGAAGATGGCTTCAAACTGCTGGTCTTCAGTCTCTCTATTCCAATACTTCTGCTCCTCAGGTTTAAATTTCTGCTTTCTCTGAAGAGCTCGTGCTTGTTTTTGAGTTCAATCGAGTAGCTGTGTGAAAATGGATTGCATTAGTTTAGTTTCTTTTTCTATGTTTGTGTTTTCTATTGGATCCCATTTCGATTAAGAATTTGAAGTTTGTAAGTAATGCATCGCCTTGGATTTTGATTGCTTTTGGCAATCCGATAAAACTGAAATCATTTTACCTAGGACCTGCAATGATTTCTTTCTTACCTTTGTCTGTTGTTTGGTAGATGTGGGGTGTGTTTTGTATGGTGCTGTTGGTTTATTTTACCGACTTTGGTTGAAATGAAAGCAGGTCTATGGCTTTTCTGTGGGTGGGGGAGGGCAAGGCTCGGGAATGTTTAGAAATGCACAGAGAAGCTTTGGTGGGATGAATGAGTATTACATGGAGCCATCAACTCCTCCAGAAAATTCACGGCCATCAAGCCAACGCAAAAGTCGCGAGGATTCGCCGAGTGATTTCAGTCCCGGGCTCTTAGATCTGCATTCCTTTGATACTGAATTGTTGCCTGAGGTGGGATTAAACTCATTTCCACATTTCTTATCACTCTTTTGAATCTGCGATTCTTCGTTTTTTTTTTTCAAGAAATTTAGGATTCCAATGAGCGATGTGCTTGGATTTTCTGTTGAATTCTCATGAAATAACTTGAGGATCCATGAGTTTATGGATTGCTATGTTAGGCCTGCCGATCCTAAACTCTAAATGATGGTTACTCGATTCTCTGCATCTGTAGCATCAGACTTGAAAGCTACCGTTCCTTTGAATCTGATATTGAGTTATTGACCATATTGAATTAATTCTGAAGTCTGTTGTATAATTTTTCTGTATTTCGAGTTTAGTTCGATGCAATTAAAGAGACTAAAGAGATGGTAGATAGAAACTTCTAAACAACATATGTTTTGTGTCTTTTAGAGCTGAGCTCAAGTTATCTGATATATTTTGTTGAGAGGTTTGTGATGTCTCATAGTGTGTTTGTTCTTGCAGGATAGAGGCTTTGACGAATCTGAACTCTATATTTCGAACAACATCCAAATGAATAGACCTCAGGATTTGACAGAGAACAATCTCTTGAAAAGTGTGGCTGCTGCAGACAAAGAGAGAGCAAATTCTGTTGCAAAGATCAAAGTTGTTGTAAGTATTCTTCTGGATCCGCATTTGTATATGGGTGTGTTTGTACGACAATTTCAGTAAATTGTTTTTAGCAGTTTGATTTGGTGACAGATCCTTTTTAATCCCTACGTCTGTTTATTAGCTTGTTCATGTTCGTGTTCGTGTTCGTTGCAGGTGCGTAAAAGGCCTCTGAATAAAAAGGAGTTGGCGAAGAATGAGGAAGACATTGTTGAAACAACTGCTAATTATTTAACAGTTCATGAGACCAAACTCAAGGCAAGTTTCAGTTCCTAAATACTGCTTTTGTAAAGCTTCTGAATTGTAATGTCGTAATCGTTTCCCTTCTCTATGTTTGGCTAAGCAGGTCGACCTTACCGAATACGTGGAGAAGCATGAATTTGTTTTTGATGCAGTGCTGAACGAGGAGGTTTCAAATGATGAAGTAAGTGTATTACAAACGATGAAGTGATTATATACTTAGTTCAACACAAGTTCTTAGCATGTTTTTGGGATGTAGGTTTACAGGGAGACGGTGGAGCCAATTGTACCTATAATATTTCAACGAACAAAGGCGACCTGCTTTGCATATGGACAAACAGGTGATTTGCTGTTAGTTGGCCCTTGATGCTCTTGCTGGCTTGCATTGTCAAGTAATCTTAGTTGGTTTTTGTAACACCCCAAGCCCACCGCTAGCAGATATTGTCTTTTTTGGACTTTCCCTTTCGGGTTTCCCCTCAAGATTTTTACGTGTCTACTAGGAAGAGGTTTCCACACTCTTATAAAGAATGTTTCGTTCTCCTTCCTAACTGACGTGGGATCTCACTGTTTTATATTATAATAGAAATTTCTGTGTTCTTTTAGATGCCATCAAACTTGAGTTTTTGATGTCTTGCCGTTCTGCTAGCTTTAAAGTGCTGTCATGTTCTTCATCTTTAGAACTTTCTACTGTACAGGGAGTGGCAAGACTTATACCATGAAACCGCTGCCTCTGAAAGCGTCCAAGGACATTTTGAGATTGATGCACCATACATACAGGAACCAGGGATTCCACTTGTTTGTGAGCTTCTTTGAAATATATGGAGGAAAGCTTTATGATCTTCTCAATGATAGAAAGTAAGCTCTATGATCTTCTCAAGAACATTTTGAGAAGCTTTATGATCTTCTCAGTTGCTAAGCTTGTTTAGAAGCTAAAGCTTTTACTCTACAGAAAACTTTGCATGAGAGAGGATGGTAAACAACAAGTGTGCATTGTGGGTTTGCAAGAGTATAAAGTATCTGATGTGGAGACCATTGGGGAGCTCATTGAAAAAGGAAATGCCACGAGAAGTACTGGAACAACTGGTGCAAATGAAGAATCCTCTCGTTCTCATGCCATACTTCAGCTTGCTGTCAAGAATTCTGTCAGTGGCAAAGAATCAAAGCCGCCTCGCTTGGTTGGAAAACTTTCTTTTATAGATCTTGCTGGAAGTGAACGTGGTGCAGACACCACCGACAATGACAAACAGACAAGGTTTAGTTATTCCTCAATCTTCATATTTCTGCTTAAAAGGGTTTAGGGTTTAGGGTCTAGTTGTTGCCATGCATGCTTCTCCTTAAAAGGGAAACTAAACCAACCTGGTGCGTGTTGTAAGGAGTCTTGGTCTCGAGTTGAGCTGGGGCATCATTTCATTCTCGTAACGGGAGTGAGTGCACCGGTGGGGTTGGTTTGGGTTTTTTGTTTGATAGCTTTAGGATTGACCAAAACCTACAAAACCTATCCAAACATAATCGGGCGTAAATCTGAAAGTAAGAAGTGAAGTATAGAGTTCATACATTATCTTTTGTTCACTAAAATCCTGTACCAGTTGATTTCATTTCATGTATAGTATCATTTCCTGCCTGTTCAAATAAACTCTTCATAAAAATAATGCAGAATAGAAGGTGCTGAAATCAATAAAAGCTTACTTGCTTTAAAGGAATGCATACGAGCTCTTGACAATGACCAGGGCCACATTCCTTTTAGAGGCAGTAAATTAACAGAAGTTCTAAGGGACTCATTTGTTGGCAATTCACGTACTGTCATGATATCTTGTATATCACCCAGCTCTGGATCATGTGAACACACTCTCAATACCTTACGATATGCAGACAGGTAACCAATAATTCTTGTTAGGAAACTAAATTCTTGATGCATTTTTATCACTATAGACTTGTTCTTTAGATGCTTATTCTGATAGATAAGTGCCCTCCAGGGTGAAGAGCCTTTCAAAAGGAAATATTGTTAAGAAGGACACATTTTCTTCCACTTTAAACCTTAAGGAATCAACCACTGGACCCTTAACCTCAGCATTACCTTCTGGAACTATGTTCGAGAACGAACCTGCATGGGTCAGACAAAATGAAAGAGACGAGGTCGATGTATCAGAGGAGATTTTTGATCAAAGAAAGCCTTCTTGGAAGAAAAACGGGAAGCTTGAGCCATATAGAACATCTGTTGCGGTTGAAAATGTACACAACAAATACAATAACCAGCCGAAATGGAAGGACATGCCAAAGGCTGAGTCTCATAACTCAAATTCAGACGATGATTTGAATGAACTTTTGCAGGTAAAACACAATAAACTTATATCCTTTATTTCTCCAACATTTATGCATTTTCTCTTCTGTCTCAGGACGAGGAAAATTTTATAAATGCTCACAGGAGACAAGTCGAGGAAACAATGAATATTGTTAGGATGGTATGTAACTGGGCTGGTTAGCTGTATTTCTTGCTTTCATTACGAGTAGATGTAGTAGAGCTAGACGGTTGTTCGTCGAGCTATGCACTAGCGGAACGGGGAAATCATTAAGCATGTTTACTCATATGGTTTGTGATTTGGCAGGAAATGAACCTTTTAGTGGAGGCAGACCAACCGGGGAATCATCTGGATGGTTATGTATCTAGATTGAATTCAATTCTATCCCAAAAGGCTGCAGCAATCTACCAACTACAGAATCATTTGGTTCATTTCCAGAAACGTTTGAAAGAACACAATGTACTTATACCTTCATCTGAGTGATGAACTTGTGCAGAATTTCAGATGCTAGTTAGATCTAGCTCGGATACCGACATGGGGATGTTTTGTTTACAATTTTACTAATGATTTTGATGGAAGCATTCTTGGAAACTTTGATATCCAATTGAGGTGTTGGTGTGGTAATTTCCATTACATAACGATTGGAGTGCTTTTATACCTGTCTAGTTTCCCTCACAGGATACAATATTGTAAAATTGGTTACCTTATAAGAAATTTGCAATATTTTGCTTTACTAGATTTCTTTTGTATCAGTCTTTGATGTGATCAAAATCAAGCAGCCACTGTTTTCATATACCACAGATTGAAAGTTTTTCTAAATTTGTTGGATGCTCCGATGATATTGCAATTGTGCAACAAATTAGTTTATATTGTTAAGATTTAAAAGAATATTTTATCAATAATTTGACAAAAACCCAAATGTGTCGACAAACTAGAAAGATCTAAAGTCTTAATTTTTTTTATACACAAAAACGAAGGAATTTCCTTAGGCAGTAAAGCTTGGATACGCAACACGGGGGAGAACTTTTAGACCCTAAAATGCCCATTCTCAACGAGTTTCGAAGTGATCCTCATTTTCACTGCTGCCTTCTTAAGCCGAAAGAAAGCTGGGCAAGAATCTCGGTAGTACGAAGTGGAAGCAGAATCGTATCTGGCAGTGGTTCTTCGGATCGATCACAAATTCTAGGTCAGTCGTTTGGCTTCCACTACAGTTGACCTCTCTTGTTCTCCTCCCCCAGTCTTTAGCCGATATTGTTTGCTTGCTTTGGCTCGATACGTATCGTTAAAACGCGTCTGATAGGGAGATGTAGAAATGTTTCTTCCCCTCTGACAAGGCAACCTAATCCTCAACCCAACGATCCAAGCTTTTGTTTTAGCAATAACCCTTGAATCAAAATAATTAACACCTCCTTATACGAAATTTGGATCAACCAAGAGATAAGGCTAGAATTAGATTAACTCTTATGATCGAAGATCAATGTTTCATCCCATCTGATAAGGCAACTCTAATCCTCAGCCCAACGATCCAAGCTTTTGTTTTAGCAAAAACCCTTGAATCAAAGTAATTAACAGCTCCTTATACGAAATTTAGCTCACCAAGACATAAGGCTAGAATTAGATCGATCGAAGATCTAGAAGCAAGATTTGTAACCTTGTTCTAAATTGAGTCACTCCATAATCTAATCTAACTTGATCAAGGCTTGATTGAATGTCTCGGGTGCAATTCTACCACCCACAAGAATTGCTTGAAACTTCTAAATGACAAATATGATGCTCGGATTTCTAAGGGAAACGTCTCAATTTGAGATCTAAATTACATTCATTCACGAATCTGTTTTTTACATAACATATTGTGGGTATTTATAGTCTCTCGACTTTTACATAATTTATGAAATTAAACATAGTTTTTTTTTAATAAATGTTGATGTGCTTGAGTAGTTAATGCGACAGACTTGAAATCAATTGAGTTCTTTGCGCGTATGTTCGAATTTTGTTGTTGACACATTTTTTTGAATCTTCATGACATTTTTTTGAATCTTCTTGACAACCGATGTGATATCTCACAATCCACTCCCTTTGAGGGCCTAGTGTTCTTGCTCGCACATGCCAAATTTCTAACTCTGATACTATTTGTAACCGCTCAAGTCCACAACTAGCAAATGTTGTTCGTTTTGGTCCGTTACATATCGCCGTCAGCCTCACGGTTTTAAAAAACGTCTACTAGAAAGAAGTTTTCATATTCTTATAAGAAATGTTTCGTTCCCCTCTCAAATCGAGGTGAGATCTCACAATATAGGGAACCCAACGTACTCGCTGGCACACCCTTCGTGTCTAGCTGTGATACCATTTGTAACCACTCAAACCCACTGCTAGCAGATATTGTCCGTTTTGGCCCGTTACGTACCACCGTCAGCCTCACAATTTTAAAACGCAACGGTTAGGAAGAAGTTTTCGCACCCTTATTTCCGTTCACTCACCAACTAATGCTAATTTTTTAATATATATTTTATGATAGAAACTAAATTGTTGCAAAATGAAATCCTATGAACTAAATTGTAAGGTGAATCAAAATTGTCTTTTTTCTTGAACTTTTAGTGCCAATAATCCAAATCTTCATCGAGTATTATTGACAAATAATTGAAAAACAGAAACATATACTCCTGTTTGAGCATGTTCTTCCCTCTTTGGAACAGGTTTTGTATGCAGCATAACCTATTGGCTTACCAAATCAATCAAGTTTAAGATTCTTCCTCACAACACTTGCATTACCAAACAAAAAGGAAAAAAAAACGCATCAAATCAGGTAATCATAAAGGCCTAATTCTCAGACCCAAATGCAGCAGTAACAAAGTTCAAACTTTTATTGAGAACTTTTTACAGAGCTGAACAAAAACAGGCAATGAATCAGTATAACCACACAAAAGACATTCTCACCATAGGTGAATCAAAATATAGAAAAACAATCAAACCAAATTTCCAAAAAGAAAGGAAGGAAACATAGTAAAAAGATATAGCTCACTGATATGAATATCTATAACCTCCTCTTTGAGCTGTTCATACTCTTAGCAGAAGCCTCAGGAACAGAGAATTCAGAGTGTATGTCCATGAAAAACCTGTCCACAATTTCAAGATAAACAGGACTTCTTAATCGAGAGTAATAATGAATTGCTTCTTCAAGATCCAACTCTTGTTCCATATCTCCTCTATCCAACATCTCCAATTCCTTCATTTTTTGTACTAGTCCGTCACTTCTCCTACTACAGCTTTTAACATCACCTTTTCTGAAATGGGTATTTCCTTGTTTCTTCTTCTCTGTCACAGCCTTCTCTTGTCTGATCCTTGGAAGGCCTTGTTCTTCTTGTTCCTTCTTGTTTTCCTTGGATGTTCTCACACTGCCTCTGTCAATGCTTCTCTTTGCTGCTTTATGCAGTGTGGACTGCCACTCATCATAAAAATCAATGTAGATTCTCTCTGTTGGATGGGTATGCTGTGGCTGTGGGTTTCCTTTGCTGCATGGAAAGAGGAGGAAGGAAGTGGGTTTCTGCAGCTTTTGAAACCCTTTGAAGAATAAATGCTTGAAGTTTTCAAGAGTTTTGTGGATGGTTTCTCTTAGCAGCATTTGGATGTCTGCAGTGTAGTACAACAATCACAGGGCTTTGTTAACTCTCAATATGTTCACTAAATATTTCAGCAACACAGAGAAGAAAGATGGAGACAAATCATGTTTCACGCAGTTACCTAAAGACAAAGCCAGAGCAAGTAGAAGCTCCAAGTCTTGCCTTTAAGGGCGATTCTCTCTGTCTAAAAGTAGAAAATCCTAACCGCTTGAACTTTGATAATAGATAGCACGGAATCCTATGAGCTCTTGAATGCTTCGGTTTGACTACCTGTTGTGTAAAGAGCTAGGCATTAACTAAGATGCAAAGCTAAAGATGGTGGGTTTCTAAAAGTAAAATGCAATTAAATAGACCATTCAGGCATGTACCTAATTGTTGTAAAGGCAATCCCCGACCCATTAAGGACCCATTAAGGACCCATTTGGCAAATGGTCCCAGCAAAACATTAAAGAGAGATGTCCCAATGGAACAAAAATTCATACTATTCTGGTTTCAATCATGTTACAGAAAGGCTTGTTCAAATTAGCACAGTCAATTCACCATGATCATCAAAGTTTGAATGGTAGGGAGGACAATCAATACAGTAATTGAGAGAATTTTAAATTTTAAAGAGAGAAAAAGTGAGACGAGAATAATTCAAGCGTGGAAAATGGCTACCAATCAACAACATACCAATATGAACATAGCAAAGGTATAGCTCTGAATCCCGCCTCTGTTGTTAAATAGTTTCAAGAAATGAAAACTACTGTTTGTTTGTAGGCCCGTGCTGTGGATTCAGGTCCATTTTACTGAGTAGGATCGGCAGATTTTTGTTGAAACTATGGGCGCTGTGAGTTTTAGCTTTGAACAACTCCAACACATTCTGCATTAAATTTCATTCAATGCAGTTGAAAAATCATGCTCATAATTGTGTGACACTACCATTCTTCTCCGTAGATGATAGGATAAGGTGACTCACTCAAAGTCAAAAGTGTAACTGTTCAAGCTCACCACCGTTAGCATAACGCAAAAATCATAAATCAGCTGGAATTAGAAATTATAATGACCCGTAGGAACTTGGGTTTTCTTTTGTTAGAGAAACCATCAACCACATCACAGACAGACATTATTTGACAAAGGGTTAAAAAACACATTTAGTCCTAAAAAGATGACAATTTAGTACTTAAACTTTTCTTTTTGAATGGTACGGAAACTAAATTATTGCACAATTTGAAGACTAAATACTTACTTTTGCTTTAGTTGTTGTCTAGTTGGTTACCTGGAAAAAGAATCGGTAATCATGAGCTTTTGAATAACCAAACTGTTGCTTGATATGACAGCAAGATTTGGCAAAAGTTGCAGGCGAAATCATGATAATCTATTCAGTAAAAGAAAACAAATCAGAATGGTACACATTCAAACTGAAGATGTAGCATGGCATACAATAGGTGGCAGTACATCAGCAGTGAAATACATAAGGCAAAGCTAGATCTTATTACTCAATACTGACACAGCAGGACTCCCCAAAATAATGTGTATAGATCCAATGTGCTATACATCTTTGTGTACTAACACAGTTGTAATGGTTCAAGTTAACCATTAGCCGATGTTATTCTCTTTGGACTTTTCTTTTTGGACTTTTTCTCATGGTTTAAAACACGTCTACTGTAAAAAGATTTCAACACCCTATTACAAATGTTTCGTTCTCCTCTTCAACCAATGTAGAATCTCACAATTCACCCTCTTGGAGTCCCAACGTCCTCACTAGCACATCGCCCGATGTTTGGCTCTGATACCATTTGTAACGGCCCAAGACTACCGGTGGCAAATATTGTCCTCTTTGGGCTTTCTCTCAATGATGTACATGCTACTAGAGAGAAGTTTTCACACCTTTATAAGGAATAGTTCGTTCCCCTCTCCGACCAACGTAGAATCTAAAACAAACAAATGGAACAAAGTCACCCACTACTCAAATCTGTTGGTCCCATAAGAAAGATACCAATATATACTTCTATAAGTTACTGATCCTACAAATTCAATCACGAATCTCAGTTACAGGTCATTTGACCTTTCCGACTGGGACCAATTACTATAATCAAAATTACCGCTCAAAATAAGACAACAGTGAAGAAAGGGCGTTTGTGCCTTTCTGGAAGTTTGTAGGGCAATATGTATCTGTTCCCAATAATAACGACAGATTCAACATAAATTTCTATTACTTGTTCACTGTCCAATCTTTCTATTGAGTTTAAGAAACTGATGTAACCTTTGATGGATTTCACCATAATTCTCAGTTGAAGAAATGGGACCGTCTTTGATCCACTTTGGGAACTTGTCAGCTCGGTCTGAAAAACTTCTTTTTGAGGAATCAAATGCGTAATGAACATCGACCGATAAAATTGCTGCATAATCATTAATAAGTCGAATACCTCTACCTGTAATAAAGGCAAGGAAAATGGGTGTTAGATTCAGACAAAATGAAAATGAATAAGCAATGGCTTGAAAGTAGAGAACGCTTCATTATCACCAGAAATCTCACAAAATTAGGGCGGACTATTGATTCAGTGCGTGACATACAGAGCCTGATCAAGATCTCACACCGAAGCGAGATTTTGATTGGCGTAGTTAGTACATGGCACAAGGTTCGAGCATAATCACGTCACAAACTAAATGAACCAATGCGAATACTTTTTTAGTATCAGAGTCATGTCCTTAACTTAGTTAGGTTAATAGAATCTTTAAGGTCAAACAAATAAGTTAGCAGTGAATGTATAGTCAAAAAGTGACTTATTTATTATTATTATTAAAAAAAAAAAAAAAAAAAAAAAAAAAAAAAAAAAAAAAAAAAAAAAAAAAAAAAAAAACAACATGAGCCTAATATAATAATTCGTTTATTTTTAACTGAGTTGTACAAAATGGACTAAATCTGACTATGGGCCGAACGCCTTAAATATTAATTGGGCTGGAAACTTTCAAGCTTCCGATATTGGGCCGGCCCAATAACTTACCAAGGTCGTGGTGTCAAAGATTGAGCCGGCCCATCATTAATTGCCAAGCTCAAACCCTAAACGCTGTCATTCGGTCATATAAAAAAGCCATTTTCTCTTCTGGAAGCTGCAGATAGAACTTTTCCACCCTAGGGTTTCTTCGTCCTGCATCAATGGTACATCACTTTCTTCTCTGTTTCTATTTATGCTTCTGTGCAGTTGGATTCGTCGTTTCATTCTTGCTCGATTAATCTACAGGGCAAGGGTACGGGAAGTTTTGGTAAGAGGAGGAACAAGACACATACTCTCTGTGTGCGGTGCGGCCGCCGCAGCTTCCATCTCCAGAAGAGTCAGTGTTCAGCATGTGCTTTCCCTGCCGCCCGCAAGCGAAAGTGTAAGCACACTCGATGTTTCCTTTTTTTGTCACTGTACACTTTCTATAATTCGGTTTAAATCGACTATTTGACGTTTGGTTATTTTGATTCGATGTAATGCTGCCTTGAGTAACCATTGATGTGTATGGTAGTTAGTTTCTGTGTTATGTATTAAGCCTGATAAGATGGTTGAGTCTGCGAATGTGAATGAGGTTCATTTGTTAGCTGGAGTAACGTGAAGTGATCATATTGATTTTGGTTTTCCGTGGAGTTTGAATTAATCTTGATTCATCTCGTTGGCGTTGGGATTATTTAGATAACTGGAGTGTGAAGGCCATTAGGAGAAAGACAACCGGAACTGGAAGGATGAGGTACATGCGCCATGTTCCGCGTAGATTCAAGAGCGGCTTCAGAGAGGGTATGATATTGTATTTGTAATTGATTCAATTTTTTCGCACCGTTTACTGCATTTACGTACTGGGTTTCAGAATTACCTGGGTTTTCATGCCTTGAAATTGCTCTGTGTTTTTTGTCATTAGGTACCGAGGCTGCACCCAGGAACAAGGGAGCTGCAGCATCAGCTTAAGGTTTTGGAAGGAGTTCAACTTAATTTCAGTACCCAACTATAGCTTTCAGTAGGGGGGCTTTACTCGTCCGAGAATCATTTCATATAATTTTGTTTTCTAGTTTTGCCTTTTCATGATTTAGTTGAACGCGGTTTCTTTAGTATTTAATGTTTTGAAATTTGGACAAATGATGAATCTGATTATTCGTACTCTGGTACTTGTTTTTGTGCTATTTTTAGCGTGTTCTTATTCTTCCCCATCTTTCCAAGATTATTTTCAGCATGTGTTGGGAGGATAGTTGAATCACTAGATTGAATTAGTTCATTTCGAAATTGTATAAATCTTGCCTAGGAGTGGCTTCTTTTGGTTCCCCACCCCAGAAGCTCCCTATCTGAATTGATCAATTTTGTTGTCATATCTCGTTCAATGTTATCAACTAAAGCTTCATTTTCAACTTTACGTAGTCGTACTATTGTTTGATTAATAATGCAAGGTGCACACCTTGTGTGCTACATTTTATGAGCTCAAGTAACAATGGCAATTGTCGTCGTGTTCATTCTGCTGTTGAACTTGTATTTGTTATATAAACATCCAAGTTTTTTTTTACTTTCGAAAGACTTTTGACCAATTACTAAATGTTTGGTTCTTCTAGTTGTAGCACTTAAAAGCAGTCGTAGAACATTGTCTTCACAGTTCTCTAAGACATTAGTCTAGTTAGCCAGTCTTTGAATGGGTATTCTTAGTGATATCAGAGCACTAATAAGCTCATTTTAACAGTTGATATAACCATTTAGTAATTAATATTACTAAAATGTGATTCTACACCGAGGTGGTGTACCTGTAAGGAGAAAATCTGTATAGAAAACAATGGTACCAACCCGTTCGTTCACATGATTGCCAAAATTACACCAAATGTGCACAAATCTATGCCTATACAAACCACCACAATGAAAAGATATTACAGGTACAGAAAAGAAACGCATTTCAATTGTTAGTACAGTACAGCAGCCTATAAAAGGAGATAATTGCTACAATTTCCAAAAAGGGCCGTAAGCTCTGAACTTCCGAAACAAAAATGATTTTGGGGTAATACTGTGCATGTCCAAGGCTGTAACCTGTGCATGATACAAAACAATCTTTAATGTTGTAGATCGAGTTTTCCGAATTTCTCCTTTCGTTCGTGCAACTGTTTGAACACATAATTAAGCTCCGGAAACAATGTTAACAGCAGCAGCTCAATGAGGTCCAGTGCCAACAGCTTCGTGCATACACCTGACTGTAGTTGTTGCATTTCACAAACTTATGAACGAACAAGTCAATTTGATAAAAACGAGAAGCTATTGCTCATGAGAAGTATGCAAATACCTGAAGGAAGTAATACAAATCCTTGGCGCATTGCTCGTATTCCTTTCGACCAACGAGCCCCACGATAGCAGGTGGTGCATTAGCTTCAATATCAAATTTCATCATAAGTTCAAGATCATAACAGATATGTTAATGTGAAGCAACTCTAAATGCTAGTTGTTCGTGAGACGAAGAATAAGAAGTGTGAACATACTAATCATTAGGTCATACACGAACTTTGCACGACGATCAGCTTCCTGTTGTTGCAGTTCCTCAAGGGACCGAGGAGATAGGATTTCGTTCGAGTCGTTGCCGGAAGTTGAACCTTCAGATTTCGGTGGCTGCTTCGGGCGCTTGCTTATGAATACTCCATCGGGCCACAGTATCTGTTTGATTACCATTCAATACCCCTCCATCAATTAATCCGAATATGAAAGTAGAATGGAAGTATTTAACAACCTACTAAAATTTTTATTATGAAATGAAGAACAGGAGAGGTACCTGCTCAAGACGAGAGATGGCAGAAGCCATGGAAGATCCCTTGCGGAAACGCTGAATTTTCTGAATCAACCAATCCTCAAGAGCATCCCCCATTCCCAGTTGCAGCACCTGTTTTGCCACCCAAAACGCCTTTCTCCTATATTTTCAATACCACACGGGGATATTATCAACCTACCAAAATTACTAATCTACAAAAAAATATTATACAATCAATCAATCAATCAATGAAACACAAATCTTCTAAATCCAGCACCTGATCCATCCCCCATCTTGAAGCTGGAATATCACGTCCACCAAGTTAAATATCGGCATTGTCAAATTCGGCGGCACCCACTGCAATAGTATAGTTCCAAATCAAACATCACATGTTACCCCTCAATCGACTATGCTTATATAACTTACTCCTCGTTCAGATTTTTCCGTTTCATTCATTAATTAATGTTCAAACACATGGTATTTTCGACTCAATAAAATACATTTTGATGTCACTTCATCATTTTCATCAATGAAATTTAACATTTGGGGAGAGTAAGAACTCAATTGCAAAAGAACACATAACTATGAAATTCAAAATTCAAATATTTGAGGGCAGCTTAAAGAATGACACCAGATTTAGCCTACAGAAAATCAGTACAGGATTGAACATTGTATGTATAGCTACAAAGAAGCTTGAAAACAATGAAGGGAATTCAAGATTACCTCTGTAGGCAACATTGGATCAGTAGCAGCATCCAGAAGTGATTCAGAAGCCACTCCCGATCTTTCATTCTCTTTCTGGCTCTCAGTCTTCCCACAGTTTCTATTAGGCAATGTTCCATTCTCCTTCTGATTCTCAGATTTCCCGGAGTTTCTATCAGGCAATCCACTCTTCTCCGTAGTAGCATCTGAATCACTATCAGAGTTGTCAAAAACAATTTACATACTTTCTGAAAAGTTGTTTTTACTGGATAAGGGGACATGCCTTTTGTGTTCAATCTCAGGCCATTTTCCTGAAATTTAGTCTTCACCCGCAATTTAGGCTCAAAGGTTTCAGCAATTGCATGGTCTTTCCTCAGTGGTGATAACCCTTGGTTTATAGGGCTGTTCGGGTTTGAAACGCTTCTATTATCTTCATGGGGTTTATCAGCTAGATCAACTGTAACATTTTCTAACAAAAATGATATAACAGACTAGAACACAAATAAAGGGTAAATAGATTAGTCACATTCAATTATCCTAATTCAATATGGTTTACCTGAAAAGGTTTCAATGATGGAAAACGAGTTCAAGAATATGTATGTCTGCAACATATAAACATAGTTACATAAACTAAACTCCGGACAAGAGGTGCCACTGATATCCAGCAGGGAAGTAAAGATCTAACCTGGGAATCAACACTGAGAAAGTCCCAAACTTCAATAGATCCTGAAATTTTCGGGAGCTGTATAAGCCTCTGAAGAACAACAGGAAAAAAAAAAAGTTGGTCAAAAGGATTAAAAAAGGGACTTAACTATCACATAGACGAAACGACTTCCGAGAAATAAAGAGTGAAACAAATCCTCATAAAGCATAATATACTACACTCAACTCAATAGAGCTGAAAGCTGAAACATACATTAGCAACAGTACCAGAATCTCTCATCAGAAAAGAAAAAAAAAAACGAAAAACGAAGAACAAACTAGTTCATGAAAATAAATAGATCCAGTTGAAAAATCATGACTCTTTAAGCAGGAAAAAGAATGTGAGTTAAGACTGCAAAAAAAAAAAAAAAAAAAGATAATCAAGTAAGACAAGTTTGGACCTTTAAGTATTTATCAAGCAATTCACATCGTTCCTGAATAACTGGTAAATCTAATCCGGTGGAAAGAAAATGTTTCGGCGGCAAATGTAAATTGTACTCTGAAAACTCCTTCAGGCGTCTATGCAACTCCTCAAAATGGCTGAACCTACAAGAGTAAGAAAGGCAAGTGCATGCAAAAGGTTAGAAACCAATTAAGGCATTAATAAATAAACCCAGAGAGTTTGTAGTAAAAACCTTCTCTTGATGGACCAGCTATTGTAATTATTTACATCGGTGACAGATATGGAATATACAGCGAATGTTCTTGAACCACTCTTTACTATATTTGCACCCACCACCTGCATAAAAAATAAACTCGCAGCGACATCATTTATGCAAACGAAATTTCAACGTGCTCAAAGTATGAACTATTAAGATTCATTAAGAAAAAGTACCTCACATTTCAGCCTAAAGAAGGAATCGACCATCTGAGAACTATGAGTGTAATCTGTAGGAGGAACATGAGAAATTGAAGGAACACATGAAGAAGCCGCTGCTCCACTATGGATTCTTACTGAACTCTCCATATCAGAATCATCACTAGAGTCCTCGTCATTTACGGGCCCTAGTGGAGAATTTAGAATATCCTGTCCATCACCAGATATAAAGCTTGTTCTCTCAACCTCCTGCCAAACAGGCAGCTTCTCACTGTTATGGCGGGATCTTTTCCTTCCAGACTGATTCCTGGATGGCTTATTATAGTGATCTTTACCTTTACCACCTGCCTTCTTAAGTCCAGAACCATCAGAACTCTCGAGTGGGTGATGAATGTGAGAAATTCCCGCATTTCTATTGTTTTTAGTATTCCAAACTTTGGTTCCAGGAGAGTCAAGGCCTGTAACATCACTTGTTTCCTCATCTTCAGAAGTATTTCCATCTGAGTCAAGATCATTTAGGTGCATGTCATCACGACCATTGCCTTGATAATGCAACATGGTAAAGTCACTTAATGTGTTTGAATTGGTTCGACAAGATGAGCCATAAACTGTAGGCGAGTCAGTAACGCCCAAGTGAACAGTGTCATTCTTAGAGCAATTATGCTTGCCCACATTTTCTCTATCAATTGTTTTAGAGATTATCTTATCATGATTCACAGAAACTGAGACAGGTTTCCCTTGAAAGAGGCCTTGTTGGACATTCTTGTTTGATTGATTCTCATCTTTCGTTTTGTAGTTTCTCCCTTTTGCCCACATGTTTTCAAAATGCTCAGGAGCTAGGGCCTTGACCTTTCTACGAGAAAACTGATCCAACTTTTCACCCCATTCTCCAGTAGAGCTATGCCTCTGAATAGTGCTTTCTTCAACATTTTGGGATGTAGGAGGCACTGATTTCCAGGACCGGGAAGATCGAGTATCAATTGAGAGAAGTGGATCTTTTGAAAAACTGACTTTTGAGTTAAATTTTGCAGGAAAATCTGCAGGAGTGGACTGCGCATTTTTCATCTGCACCAGCTCAACACCAGCCATTGAAGGATCAAGGAACTTGGAAAGATCATCAGAGGAAACGCTCAGAGATTCATCTGTTTTGGACCCTAAATTTTCATTCAGCGATTCCATTTTCTTGGGCTTTTTCATATTTATGACCAAGGATTCTATTCTTTCGTTAATAAACCTGTTATCAAGAATTTTGAAAATATATTACAGCATCAAGCCAGAGATACATCTTAACAAAATCAAGAAAAATAGATTGGTTAATACCTTGGGCTAGCTAAGTTTAAAACTGGCCGCATTACTGCAGAAGCAAGAAGCTCCCTTGCAGTATAACGGAAGTATAAGCACTGAAGATCCTCACGCTTGAATGTGAATAAAATAAGACCATCCATCAGATGCTGCAACACCTGAGAATGTGCAAGGAAAAAAGTTCAGTAGCTATGACATAAAAAAGCAATGCAAGGTACTTCACCCTCACAAGAAAAAGTCATTGACTAAATATCATTAATAGTCAAATATAGAATCAAGACCTTATGCTGAGCTTCAGAAGAAAATAAAGCAGGGTGCAACATGTTCTCCATATCCAGGAGTCGTTTGAGTTCTGTATCTAATTGTTCAATTGTAATGGTTCCTAACTGTTTTTTCTCAATTTTTCCTTTAGTTGAACGAAAAATTTCCAAGTGTTTGCAGATGAGATTAATAAGATCCCTGCACCCAAAATTTAGTTCACTATTTTAAGCAACAAAAGATCAATCAGAAATAGAGCACAAGTACGTCCGAACTTAACCTCATCAGAAGATCAATCAGATTAATATTCCTAAAGCGTCCTGCAATTTCTCCGAGCACGCCGTTGACAATATTGATCAATTCCTCCGGACCTTCTTTATCAGGTGTTAAACGAGAATACCAAAGATCTGTCACCCATTCTGAAATTAAATGTCTAGTGAAGTGATCTATTGCATCCTCAGCAACACGTGAATTTACTTTCCTTCTCCACTCTGACTTCTTTACAACTTTAGGTAACTCAAGGGGTTCCTCCTGGGAAGTACCGTTTTCTGGCAATGGTCTACGTATGTATGTAGCAGCTTTTCTCCTCATTTCCAAATCTAAAGAGAAATAGCGGATGAGGATGATAAAAAACGCGGCTGCAGGTAAATTTACCCAAACTGAGGAGCTTGTCACTGAAACAGGAGTAAGATAGAATTATCTCCCCAAATAGAAGACAACGCAAAAGTTAGCAGCAAGAACAGTGCACATACTATCTAAAGAGTACATCTTTAAGACTACAGCTTGAGAGAGATATGATCGTCGAGCATATAATGCCATGCTACTTAGAAGATTGCAGCATAGACATATGACAGTATATCCCACCACCCGGCCTCGGGAAGGCAGAGAGAAACTAACAACGGATTAAACGAACTTTAGGTAAACCTCTTCACACAAACCTTTTTGTGCTACCTAAGGGTGTGCGTGTGACAGAAAAACTGATCTAATCATACAGATCGGCTCCCATCAGAAAGAAGAAGCTCAAACACAAATAAATAAGCATCATGCATCAATAAACTTCTCTAAGAAAACTCCACAAAACTAATTCCAATTATTATCAAATGACTCATTATCGTGTTAAGAACTATGTAATTTCAAATTCAAAACAAACGAACAAGAATTTCCATGAAAGTGCAAAAAGGAAAAGTAAACCAAACAACAAACAAGATTCAAATTATCTAGTTGAACAAGTCGGATGGTGAAATCCTCATAGACTAACCCAGTAATCTCTCTTTTTTCTCCATGCAAAACAACATAGTAAATGCTGCTTTGAAACCATAACTCAACGAAAGCAAGTTCGTAACAATGCTAATGGACTAGAATTGTATCTCCCGAAGTGAAGTAGTGCTTTTCTGAGGCATAAACTTATGGATATAATTTACAAACGATTAAAGGGGCTTGTAAGGTTCAAGTTACAACAGGTAATCCAACACAAAAGAAAAGCCATGCGCATCCAATGAGTTAGCCAGCTAAAATAGAAATCCCAAGATGGACTAACTTCAATCAGATTATAACAAAAATTAAGTAAAAAAGGTGATGGTTCATTCGCAATTGGATGAACAAAAATTCCATTTCTTACATGACATCATATACGATAAACCCACAATGGATACGACCAGAAAAAGAACCCGCTTCTTAGCTTCCTCGAGGATGTCCCGAACCGTAACCTGATTTTGGGAGCTCATTCCGCCCCAAAACACAAATCAAATTTGCACCCACGAGATATTGAAATGAGGGAAGTGAATTGAATCAAAGTAGTCACATTAAACCAACGAAGAATCGTTCGTTTTCAGATAGATGATCAGCGAAGGACCCACACCAAAAACTCAGAAACCCCCAATCGGAGATAGAAGCGATCAGAAACTGGGTAATCTCGAAATGAGGGGGGAAATAGAATAATTGTGGAAAAAAGCAAAAACGAAATCAAATCAAATGGTGAGTAATGGGTTCGGAGTCGTGGACCGATGGAATATGGGCTGCCAATGAATTCGATGTTCTTCTATTTCTCATACTCCATGGTCAGTTCCAGTTTTGCACTCCGTTGGTGATTGGGATTTGATTTTGGGTTTGGGAATTGGAAATTGGAAATTGGAAATTGGAAATTGGTAATGGAAATTCCATCCGCTTCACGGACGTTCGGGATTTTTGAGACTGGAATATCCAGATTTTTCATACTATCATCCTCTAATACTCAATTATTATTTTAGATCCATTTCTCTGTTAATTAAAACCCCTCCTACGATTCATTTAAACGTGAAAATAAAGATAAAAAATAAAAAACAAAAGAAGAACAACAACAACAAATATCAATCCCCAGAACAGAAATTAAAATTGATTTTGGAAAATTATAATAAAATAACTTTCTCAAATCTTTTAATTAAATAATTAAACCAGGTACTGTTTCTTCAGTTCAACGATGATATTCCGTAAGAAAAATAAATAATATTTTATTTAATTTTGATTATTCTTTTAATAAAAAAATTGACTGAATTTTCTATTTAGTATAATATTCAGTATGAGTGAAGTTTAAATTTAATATATATATATATATATATATATATTTTATTTTAGATTTAAAATTAATGATTATTTTTTGGAAATGTGTATAAAAAATTAATTTAGAACAAGAAAAACATTTTATTCCAAAGTTATTCCAAACACACTAATATATTAAATTTAATTCACTTGTCAACTGTCATTTCTTAACTGTACTCTCTATCATTACGAGTAGATGTCCAAATATTCTTCCATACAAATCTGCTATTATTCCCCATGAAAATGTAAATTAAATCATGATCCCAACATTTTTATTTATATATATTTTTAAATGGCAATATTATCGCTTCTTTTAAATAGAAATTTATTCGATTACTCGGTAAGAAATAATGTGTGACAGATGTTTAGGAGAATAGTTATGCGAATAAATTTTAAAAAATGATATTATTTATTTATTTATTTATTTTTCAGATGAAGACTATTCTACCCTAACGATATTATTTTGGAGTTTTTTTTTGAAAGAGAAGGAATTGTTTCACATAAAAATTCGAGAAAATATCACATTACAAAAATTAGATTTTTTAAAATTTTAAAAAACAACATAAAAAATACGAACCAAAACAACCAACTTGATCGTGAACCCTAAACACGACTAGCCAACCCAGTTCTTAAAAAAAGAAAAAATATCGGTTTCTGATTCTAGGCAAGAAATTTAAGAGTTTCAAAGCCCCTAATTTCATTTCGACCCAGTGTCCCAACTACCCTCTAAATTGTTTTCGAGGGTTGTTGATTTGACACACGGAGTCCGAATGGTTTGGACTCATTTGAGCGAGTGATTTAGTAATGGTAATGAATGGTTAGGTTAAAATGGACAAAGTGACAAGAGTATTTTCCCGCCAACCAAATCTAAGTGAATTTTAGAACAATTTGGAAGGGAATATTCTATGGGAGGCAAATCTCAAAAAATGGGAACGAATGGCATTCAACGTAAAAAGCCAAAGATAGGGAGGGTATTTTTGGAATTTAGAAACTCAACCGCCCTTTCCTGTCCTCCCATTGTTTGGCGTCAATTTCCATTTCCCGGTCGGCCTTTTCCCTCTCGACAATACCAATAATAATTCGTCTCAAAAGCAAATTTCCGTTCGTTCATCTCTGAAAAGTTCCCTGAAAAAAGTTTCCTCAATTCGGAGATTTTTGATCCATGGCTTCTCGTAGGCGCATACTTTTGAAAGTCATTATCCTTGGGGACAGTGGGTGAGCTTTCTATTTGCTTTTCTTGTTTGTCGCTCCTAATTCTATTGGATTTCTTGGATTCGAGAGAGTCGAAGAAAGTATGGTGGGGAATTTTGAAACTGATAAGAACTGGACCGATTCCAAGTTCTTTTTCTTTTGTTTTTTTCTGTTCTAATTCTTCCTTTATTGGATGTGATAGGTTTTCTTTTTTTTTAACTAATTAAGTTTCTTCTATCTTTGGCAGCGTGGGGAAGACATCGCTGATGAATCAGTATGGCTTTCATTCAATCCGAAACTTTCAAGTTTTGTTTTCGAAGTCTTTTTGTTTATTAGGTCGTTTAATTACCTTTTGGCTCTGCTACTTCCATTTGTTTGTCCAGGTATGTTAATCGTAAGTTTAGCAATCAGTACAAGGCGACTATTGGAGCAGATTTTCTCACAAAGGAAGTTCAGCTTGATGACAGGCTATTCACGTTGCAAGTAAGTATGGCTATCTTAGTTGTACTGTTTTCATCTGTTGGATATTCTATTTTATCTTTGTTGTTATGTGGAATGTGTTCAATAGTTAGTGGGATGCAACGACTGCTTTGGTTAATAAGCATTAGCAGTTCATGCTAGAAATGGTCAATGGGGATCTTTAGAAATCCCATTTTATGAAACTTTTTAGCATCACTCATAATATCTGAAATGAAAAGCAATTGGAACCGAGTTATGCAAAACAATGGCAATTGGTAATTGTGCCTTTACTCTGTGATAAAAATCCCCTTGTCGTTCTTCTCTGACTTGGATATGTTTGAGATATAGCTGCTCCCCTTCCTTCCCTTGGCTGTGGTTTGGAATAGTTATGTATGGAGAGAGAGAGTTAACAGTAATTTTGTTCCTAAACTTATGTCTCGTAAGATCTTGAGCTTTTAAAAATATCTTATAGGTGTTTAAACTTTCAAACATTCAATTTTAAGTCCTATAGGTTAAGGAACTTCAAAAGTGTTTAATAGGGATTTGAACTTTTAATTTGTATCTATTAGATCCCCAAATAGATTTATTATGCATTTGAATTTTGTGTCTAAAAGGATCTTAAACTTTCTATTTTGGTGTCGAATAGTAATAAGGCTCTGACACCAAAGGATAAGGAATCACTATAAGGGAAGTAAGATTCGGATTACCTTGTTGATCAAATATCTGAAGGCAAGAACACTTGTTTGAAATTTGAATCACTCCACAAACAAGATCGATCATGTCAAACTTGAATAATTCTAAACATGCAGCCTAAACTATATAGAATTGCAAAGGAACTTAGTCCTAATGATAAAGGAATCACTCCAACGGAAAGTTAAATTTGGGTTACCTTGTTGATCAAATATCTCAAGGCAAGAACACTTGTTTGAGATTCGAATCCCTCCACAAGCAAGATCGATCATGTCAAGCTTGAATGATTCTAAACATGCAATCTAAACTAAATAGAATTGCGAAGAAACTTAGTCATTCGCTAAAGGAAAGTACAAATGCTCTTTTTATAACATTTTTCAAGTGTCTTTTACAAATACAGCATATATGACTTTATATAGCCTAAAAAAGAAACCTTTGACATTCCATTAGGCATTTCAAGAGTTGTAACATTCATATTTTACGGTCATAATTAACCATTATATAAATGTAACCTAAAGTAAATAAAAAGTCCTAAAATGCATTAATGAAACATCATAACTCTAAATTATGATCCACCCAAACTTTATGGCAATGAATCTTGATTCTTCTTCAATGTGGCATGAATTGAAACATTTTTTATAATTTTAACAATATTTTCTCACATCTTCCTTAAAGTTTATATTGCATGATTGATGTCTTGATTCTTATCAAATAGGTTTGTGAATTTTAGAAAATGAAGGACGGATTAGACACAAATTGAAAGTTTAGAGACCTACTTGATAAATTGTTTCTTACCCTAAAAAAAAGATCTATTAGACACTTTAACCAAGTATCTATTAGACACATAATAGAGAATTTAGTGACTTATCAGGTTTTTTTTTTTTTAGTATTTTAATGACCTATTAGATACAATTTTGAAAGTTCATGCTCTACACTTGTAATTTAACCTATATAAGAAAACTCCAATGGTTTATTTTTTTTTTAATTTTAACTTTTTTATTATTACATTTTTAGTTTGTTGAGAAGGTGGTGTTTGGCTTCCTTTGTAATGTCTTGAGATGGACAATTTACATATGTAGTGTAAAATTGCAGATCTGGGATACAGCTGGGCAAGAACGGTTTCAGAGTCTTGGTGTGGCCTTTTACCGTGGTGCTGATTGCTGCGTTCTAGTTTATGACGTGAATGTTATGAAATCGTTCGACAATCTTAACAACTGGCGAGAAGAGTTTCTGATTCAGGTTGTTATCGATCCAACGTTGATAGTTATGAGCCTATTACAACATAGATTGATTCTTATTGGAGGCTTCTTGTTCTTTATGTTTAGGCCAGTCCATCTGATCCTGAAAACTTTCCTTTTGTTGTACTGGGGAACAAGGTCGACGTTGATGGTGGGAACAGTAGAGTGGTGAGTTTTGCCTGATCTTGCTTGTATCATGACTATCTGAATTACTAATCCAGAGTGAGGATAGTTCTTCTCTGCTTTAGGATAGATACTCATCTAGTAAATTGCATGGACATAAGGATCTTTTATTGGCATTGTAGGTTTCAGAGAAGAAAGCAAAGGCATGGTGTGCTTCAAAAGGAAACATACCATACTTTGAGACATCTGCAAAAGAAGGATTCAATGTGGATGCTGCATTTCAGTGTATAGCTAAAGATGCCCTCAAGAATGAACCGGAAGAAGAAGTGTAAGTATATTCCATTCAATTGAACTTCAAGTGTCACTTCATTTACCCCCTGATGACATCTTTTTTATTGATTACACATTTAGCTACATTCTATCTTTATGGAATCTTGTTCAAGTAGGTTGAAAAACAGCATGAATATAGCATGTCTTGATGAAAATAAATTGAGGAACAGAGCCAAAAGGGGGGGAAACTGCTGTTGACATTTGGGTGTACATTACGTTATAGATCTGCTAAAAGCCCGCTAAAAGGGCAAGGGATATACTTCCATTTTCTTGTTAGGGTTCCAGTTTTCTTTTTGTTTACGATGTAAACTTCGAATTATGTTCGATGGATTTATAATGATAAAAAAAGAAGTATCGGTTTTTTAATGGATTTCACAAGTAGGGATGCTGTAACAATCCAAGTCCACCGCTAGCAGATATTGTCCTCTTAGGGCTTTCCATTTTGGGCTTCCCCTCAAGGTTTTAAAACGCGTATACTAGGGAGAGGTTTTCACACTTTTATAAGGAATATTTCGTTCACCTCTCCAACCAATGTGGGGACTCACAATCCACTCCCTTGGGGGTCTAGTGTCCTCGTTGGCACACCGCCCGGTAACTGGCTTTGATACCATTTTCCACCGCCCAAGCCCACCTCTAGCAGGTATTGTCTTATTTGGGCTTTCCCTTTCGGGCTTCCTCTCAAGGTTTTAAAATGTGTTCACTAGGAATAGGTTTTCACACCCTTATAAGGAATGATTCGTTCTCCT